AAAGCCACTTATTAAAAAATATAATAATGTTCAATCTCAATCTTAGATAAAATGTTGATTAGGAGTTAAGGTATATAGATAAATATGGTTTAATGTGAAATTGACAATCGAAGAAAGCCACTTATTAAAAAATATAACAATGTTCAAACTCAATCTTAGATAAAATGTTTTTTAGGAGTTAAGATATATAGATAAATATCGTTTAATGTGAAATTGACAATAGAAGAAAGTCACTTATTAAAAAATATAATAATGTTCAATCTCAATCTTAGATAAAATATTCATTAGAAGTTAAGGTATATAGATAAATATGGTTTAATGTGAAATTGACAATAGAAGAAAGCCACTTATGAAAAAAAATATAACAATGTTCAAAGTCAATCTTAGATAAAATGTGGATTATGAGTTAAGGTATATTGATAAATATTGTTTATGTCATTATGTTTGAAAGTGGAAATAGATGAAAGCCACTTATTAAAAAATATAATAATGTTCAATCTCAATCTTAGATAAAATGTTGATTAGGAGTTAAAGGTATATAGATAAATATGGTTTAATGTGAAATTGACAATAGAAGAAAGCCACTTATTAAAAAATATAATAATGTTCAATCTCAAACTTAGATAAAATGTTGATTAGGAGTTAAGGTATATAGATAAATGTGGTTTAATGTGAAATTGACAATAGAAAAAAGCCATTTATTAAAAAATATAACAATGTTCAATCTCAATCTTAGATAAAATGTTGATTAGGAGTTAAGGTATATACATAAATATGGTTTAATGTGAAATTGACAATAGAAGAAAGCCACTTATTAAAAAAATATAATAATGTTCAAGCTCAATCTTAGATAAAATATTGATTAGGAGTTAAGGTATATAGATAAATATTGTTTAATGTTATTATGTTTGAAAGTGATAATAGAAGAAAGCCACTTATTAAAAAATATGATAATGTTCATTTATATTTATGAACGGTAATTTAAAGAATAAATTACATCAAATCATAAGATATAATATTGGTTTAGGGTTTAGGGTATGTGAAGGGGGGGTATGCGAAATCGCATACCCTCTTCGCACTTCTATTCGAAAGTTAATTTTTATTTCTTTCATCTTTCATTTATGCGAAGGGGGTATGCGAATTGCCGCATATTGCTCGCATACTACCCCCTTTCGCACTTCTACTCGAAAGTTTATTTTTTATTTCTTTCATCTTTCAGTTATGCGAAGGGGGTATTCGAATTGCCGCATATTGCTCGCATACTACCCCTTTTCGTACTTCTACTCGAAAGTTTATTTTTTGTTTCTTTCATCTTTCAGTTATGCGAAGGAGGTATTCGAATTGCCGCATATTGCTCACATACTACCCCCTTTCGCACGTCTACTCGAAAGTTTATTTTTTATTTCTTTCACCTTTCAGTTATGCGATGGGTTATGCGAATTGCCGCATATTGCTCGCATACTCCCCCCTTTAAGTTGATTTTCTATTTATTTATATCATCTTTCATTTATGCGAGGGGGTTTGCGAATTACCGTATATTGCTCGCATACCCCCTTCGCACTTCTACTCGAAAGTTTATTTTTTATTTCTTTCATCTTTCATTGTTTAATTTAGTTTAATTTTTTTCTTTCATTTAGTTTAATTTAGTTTATTATTTATTTCATTTTTTGGAAGGGAAGGATGATCGAAAATTTAGAATTAGGAAAGAGCTGGGAGAGTCAATCAGGTCGAGGTTGGTAGACTTGATAAGAGAGTTTGCGGATATTTTCGCATATGCTGCGGAGGAATTGACAGGGATCGAGGCCAAGATAATCGAGCACCGGCTGAATATCGATCTTAGTGTGAAGCCAGTAAAACAGAAGAGGAGACATCATGGAGCGGAGATGGACAAAATCATCGAACAAGAGGTCGAAAAGCTATTGAACGCTAGGCACGTTAAGAAGATTCAGTTCCCTGAGTGGCTATCTAACACGGTAATGGTATCCAAATCGGGAGGAAAGTGGAGGATGTGTATCGATTTCCGTGATCTAAATAAGGCTTGCCCGAAGGATCTATACCCGCTGCCAAGGATTGACCAGCTGGTGGACTCCACGGCGGGATGCGAGTTGCTCAGCTTGATGGACGCCTCACAAGGGTACCATCAAATCCCCTTAGCAAAGGAGGATTGGAAGAGGGTGAGCTTCATAACAAGCAGAGGCACCTATTGTTATGTGGTCATGCCATTTGGACTAAAGAATGCCGGGGCCACTTACCAGAGGTTGGTCGACCAGATCTTCAAGGACCAGTTGGGGAGGAATATGGAGGTATATGTCGATGACATGCTGGTAAAGAGCAAAATGGAGGTGGACCACGTAAGCGACCTGAGAGAGACTTTCCAAACACTGAGGAGGTTCGGCATGAAACTTAATCCGGCTAAGTGCTCATTTGGCGTAAAAGCAGGGAAGTTCTTGGGATACATGGTGACAAAGCAGGGAATAGAGGTGAATCCCGAGAAGGTGAGAGCTGTGATCGAGATGAAGCCACCAGCCAGTGTGAAGGAGGTCCAAATTCTAACTGGTCGAATAGCGGGGCTGAGCAGATTCATTTCCAAGGTAGCTGAGAAGAGCAGTCCTCTGTTCAAAACCCTCAAGAAGAGCTCGAAGTTTCAGTGGACGGAGGAAGCCCAGAAGGCCTTCGAGGAGCTGCAAGAGGTGCTGGCGAACTTGCCCTTACTAGCTAAGCCAACACAGGGAGAAGAGCTTGTGCTCTACATATCGGTGGGCGAGAACGCGGTAAGCTCGGTATTGTTGCGAGAAGAGGGAGTGGCACAATTCCCAATATGCTATGTTAGTCGGGTGATGCAGGGAGCAGAGTTGAGATACTCAGAAATTGAGAAATGTGCATTGGCGGTGGTCGTGATGGTCCAAAAGCTGAGGCCATATTTTCTAAACCACAAGGTCAAGGTGCGCACAAACATGCCATTGGAGCAGACTTTAGGTCGACCAGCAGTATCTGGTCGACTAGTGAAGTGGACGGTCGAGCTGAGCGAGTACTCCATAACATATGAGCCAAGAAGGGCAATCAAAGCGCAGGTCTTGGCCGATTTCATACGGGAGGGTACGAAGGAGGAAGGAGACGAGGAAGGGGTGTGGCAGTTGTTCGCAGACGGCTCAGTGTCGAGGAGCGGGGCTGGCTTGGGGATAGTCTTGATTTCGCCCAGAGAGGATTACTTAGAATTTGCCGTCAAAGTAGGATTCCAGGTATCAAATAACGAGGCGGAGTACGAAGCGGTTATAAAGGGGTTACAATTGGCTCTGGCCAGGGGTGCTAAAAAAATCTAGGTCTATTCCGACTCCCAATTAGTGGTCGGTCAATTTCAAGAAGGGTTCGAGATCAAAGAAGATCGGCTGCAGCGTC